CAAAATTGAAAAACAAGGGCTACCATTGAAGATCTCGTTTGATACTACACCATGGTGCAATATTTGAGCCAATAATCATTCTCCAAGTGGGAAATATTTGATGCTAAAGTCCAGGGTTCCACTTTGTGTAACATGTCAAGGACTTAGAAATTTTTTGCCAAGTTTTAAACAGTTGTGATGTCCTAACTTCACAGCAATGTATCTTAACATCCAAGCTTCTACTCAGATTGGTTCCAACATGAAATTTATACATGGTCGTGATACCTTTCCAAGGATATCAAGTTTGCTCCATTTGACTCACACACCTCAAGTTGCATCCCTCCAAAGTAGCCAAGATGACATGTTTGATCATGGGTACCAAATTGCTATCAAGTTTTGCTTAATGTTTGGAATCCACATTATAGGTCCATTCTAATGTGGAAAGTGTTCAAAGTCATTCAAACTTCAAATCCAAGGATCCCATAGGTTGCATCATGTACAAGTTGTAAAATGAGGCATAACTTGTGGCACAGGTTATAAGGCAGTTCAAAACACCAAGTTCAATGGTTCATTTCTTTTAAACCAATAACCCTTTCAACCCAATTCCAATTGTGTATGATTCACATCATGGCCTATTTTACATAGCATCAAGAATTAGCCCAAGAGAGTTGGAATTAAGCACATGAGTATGTGGCCAAGATTGCAAAATAGCACTCTGCATAAGATAAATCAGATAGGACAAAATGAGAGAATAATCTAGATTCTAGCCACCTCATTATTCTCAATCATTCATTGATGATCACACAATCATTCCCCACTAAAAAATCACGTGGAAGGGAGCTCCAACGGCTGAAATTATGAGCTGTCAAGATTGTTACGGCAAGTGAATCTCACACACCCAATTTCCAAGTTTCAGCTCAAATCTCACGCTCCTACTCTCCATAAATCATCCTCCTATAAATATCAAGCTATCTCAATGGTATTTGGAAGCTTGGAAAGTAAGAATTACTCTGCCCAGATCGTGTTCAAAACCCTCTAAAACTTGATTTGGTTGGATAAATTGGTGAAGACTTAAGCTCATTTCTCTGCCTAGATCTCAAATAGGAAGTTCAAGGAAGTTGTAGCAACAAGAATCAGGCCAAATGGAGCTCTGAGGAGGGAGAACCAAATTCATCTTCAAGTTTCTCTAAGAACCTTTCGAGCAGGTCCATTTCTTTACCATTTTTTATGATTCTTGTTACCAGGTCATGTGTATTCATGTGCTAAGCAATAACCCTAAGCTAATTATCATTTATCTTGCATCATCATCATTTAATTTTACTTTGTTCAATTAGAGTTCTTGAGGTATTTTTCAAAATTCTTTGAATCCTGATGATGTTAATGAAAACTAATTCCATGGTCTGATTCATTGCATGATAACGGTTCCAATGATTGTTTGTTTGTGAATTTTGGTTGAGTTTTGTTGAATCACGATTTTAGTAGCTAGAGGAAGAAGACGATGATGGTGTTCATGGTGTTTCTGTTAATTATGTTTAATTAATTTAAACTTGATGACTAAGCTTGCCACGTATGCTGATTAGCGGGATTAATGTGATGATTAATAAGCTGACTGGATGATTAGGTCATGTGCGCATAATTTAGAGTGAGTTATGGTAGATCCTTGCATCATAGCCTTTTGTTTTGGATAAATCCTATTCAGCTTGATCCTAGGGTGGAGAGATCTTCTGATCTCATGGATGCCTGAGCACATGATTTAATCTAGACAGTGGTGAACATGTGCTAGTGCACCATAGCTTTGTTGTCATTTTCATGATTGTATTGGGCTTTTTGGTAGCGTTGGGCTTATTGTTTTTACTTCTGGACCTCCTTTTTTCTTTTACACCTCCATTTTTCTTTTGTTTATAACTTTTTCATTTTAAATTATTTTTGAGATTTTCTATTTTGCAACTTGCTTTAAATTTTATTTTATTTAATTCTAACTGGTTCATTTCCTGTTTAGAATTTATTTTAACATAGTTGGTGTTTATTTGGTGTTTTTTTACTTTATTTTCAATATATTTAATCATGTAAATTTGAATTAGGGTTTTAGGATGGAACTTTGATGTTATTTGTTTGATGTTTGATCCTTCATCTTGAGTAATTCTTGATTCCACATGTGTTTAATGCTTAATATTAGTCATAGTTATGGTTAATTACTTGTGATGCATATTTTGACTTTGAATTTGATTAATGTCTTTGATTTCCATTTTACGTTAACCTTTGATTTATCTTTATAATTTGGTTGATCCTAATGTTACTTTGACTCCTTCTAATTGTTTCATAATTAATTCATCTTATGCTTTCCATCACATGGTCATATTGCATTACACATTATATATACTAATATTTTGTCATTGTTTTTGTGAGATAGCACTTGAGGAACTTCTCATCTTTGGACATTTATAATTTTGATCATGTCATTGTACTTTTATGATTCATCCCTTTCATATCCTTTTATGCCTTAGATTAGGTCTCCCCCTTGGTGGGTTTCTCATACTTTCCTCTCCCCATTCACAACATAACAGTGTAGGGTTTTATATACTTTTATATACTCGCATGCTTGTTTGTTTTTTAAGAAATATAAAAATGAAAGCGTTTAGGAAACAATTTCAAAACAAGAAGATAAATAAGGCTTGATCCAACGTCAAGTCACTTTTCAAACTTATTAACTTGGATTGTTTCTCATACCTCACCTTAGGGTTTCACACATTTCTTCTCATCTACCCTTATCCAATTATTCCATAAGATCCCAAGCAAGCCTTATATGCTTTCACCCTTGTAAGTCGATTGCCTTGCACATCGCCATCAACCTACCCTATTTTAATCATCACCATTTCCCTTCACTCTCTTTCATTATCTTCTCTTCCTAAGCAAAAACCTTGGTCTTGTACCAAGTACATTTTCAAAACCTTTTTCTAAATAAACTTGGATGGTTGTGGAGTGGTTAAGCGAAGGTCTTGTCCTATCCCGAGTGATTAACACTACCTTTAGGATTTATTGTCTTAAAACACTTATCATCCAAAGTAAAATATCTTTTAAATAAAACCAATATTGTCCTCCTTGTATTGAATTAAAAAGAGAGGATTGGGTGAAGACTTCTTCCTCTCCAAGTATTAGGATGCTCACTTTAGAGTGTGTGGTTTCGATACTTGTCTTTCAACACGAAGACGTGACTATATTCGCCATACCAATTTCAAAGCAAATATTTTGAGATAAAGAATTGGGTACTACCCGCAAGGGTTCCTATCTGAGGACTTATTTCACCCCTAAAATAAATCATCACAAATCAAATGTGGCATCCTGCCTTGACGGCGAAAACCTAAGGCTTTTCAAAGAGGGCACGTTATTTCCATCTTATCGCATAACATGTCAAAGCATAAGTCTCCTTGCGTGCGAGTAACAAAACCTATTGCTAGGATGTGAATGTTAACGTTGTCCATTAAAAGCAACAAACTCGTAGTTCCACGAACTAAAGACGCTCAAATTCTTCATTGGTCAATGAAGATACGTAGGCACGAGATTGCGAGATCTTGACGAACAACCTTCTTTCATAATCTTATTTTTTTCGCCTTTAGTTCCACGAACTACGAGGCTCTGACTTCCTCATTGCACCATGAGGGTGCGTAGGCACGAGAGCCCTAATCCTCCGCGAGCACTTTGTTTCTAAACCCTTTTCTTTACCTTTTGAAGCATTCCTAGAAAGCATAATCCCTTAGCAACATCCTTACACATAAGACAAGTGAATGGTTCTCATCGAGTACGATGGATGTGAGAGGTGTTAATACTTTCCCTTTGCATAACCAACTTCTGAACCCATCTTTTGGTCGCGAGACCATCTTATCTTTCCTTTTGGAGTTTTCTCAATACTTTCCCTTCCCTTTGTAATGAATAAAGTTCGACGACGAATCTGTGGTTTTTCGCATAACGACATAGAGCAATTATAGTTCCTTTTATTTATGTCTTATGAATTAGGATTTTAGTATTACAAGTCAAATGTATAACACTAGAGTTCGATTTACCTAAACGATAATCTCTAATTATCTATTACAAACAATTATCTCTATCCATAACAATCTTCACAATATGAATCATACTTAATAATACCCATAATAATCTCCACATAGTCTTATTCATAAATAAATAAACTTACACAATAAATTTCAAGGGGGCGAGGAGTCCCGTACCGGATTTGGATCCTCTCTTTTTTTATATATCATGTCATCTCTCATGTTTCTAATCTAACGGTTCAGAATTTATAATGAATAATTAAATAACAAAGACAAAAATAACAAAAACAAATTACTTGTCCATTTTTCTCTCCTATTAAATGACTTTTTTTATTTAATTATTCGTTATAAATTCGGAACCTTTAGATTAGAACATGAGAGATGACATGATATATAAAAAAGAAGAGGATCCAAATCCGTACCATAGATGGTAGTTATTTAAATTGTCTTTCTATTTTCAAATTCTCATTAGGATAGATCACAATTTGAGCCATAAAATATATTTATAAATTCTAAATTGATAATCTTATTCATTTATTAAAATTATTGAATTTACTTTAAACAATTTGAATTCAAACATTGAAATAGTCAATTATCCCACACTTTAGAAACATCTAACAATTTACTAAAAATTGTGGGATCGAAACTTTATATCTAACATAGTAACGTCGGACATCGGTTACTCATATAAGGGGACAAGGTTTAATTACAATCTGATATGAAGTCCAGACCCCAAACTCCACTAACATAACAGCTAACAACTTGCTATCAAAATCCAAGCATTTATTTTCTATTAAAAGAAAACCAAATATCATACATTAATCTGCATAAATAGTGTTAATGTACACCCTTTTCCATGAAGAGTATAGCATCATCGAACATGTATATATTATAAACACTAACTATATTACACAACCGAACTGTGCAGAAACCAAACAATTGTGCTACAATATAACTAATTACAAGGACTATCGGTTATCGTAACAATCCCAAGGGTTGCCTGTAATAATGAACTCCTGGCTGAAAAAGAGTGAGGTGATCGATAGCCTTCCCAAACAATTCTTTCAAGTCAGGATTTTGAGGTAAAACAGAATGAGCAAATTTCTCCAAGCTAATCAATACATGTTCCTGCTCAAGAACCTTACTATTGCCAACATTTAAGGCAAGATAACAAAGCAATTTTAGGCCATACACTTGCTCATGATCATTTACCTGCATCAGCCTCATTAGCTTGGGAATTCCATCAAGCTCAAGGATTACCTTAGAATGGTCGAAGCGGTTGTAGTTGTCGTCACATACAAACTTTTCCATGGAAATGACTACTTCTTTTGCCACATTTAAATCCCTATTTCGAAGGTGTGAAACTATGGGACCGAGAACATGAGGAACCTTTCCTGGGAAGTTTCTGGCTAAGGACCCAATTGACTTAATAGCTGGAATCAGAAATTTAGAATCACTCTCTTCCCGAACCACCTTCACAAGCTGATCCAAAACTGCCTTTGCCGCGGGTGCAGTGGACCTAAAAGCACTTCTTCTAAGAGCAGCATTGGACTCCGCCACGGCTGCAATTTCCATAACAGCCATGAGACAATTGAGCTTCAATTCGTCGCTTGCAGACTCAATAATCTTAGCTAAACAAAGCAAACCTTTAGTCTCAGTAATCTTTCTGCATGCTAAAAGACACCCTTTGGAGAGTTTCCAAAGAGCTTTCGCACAACTGACTTTAACATCATTCCTCAACTCAGAGCTCTGATTAGCTTCTCTTCTTCTGCAACCACTTCCATCATATCCAACATCCGACATATTGAGAACCAGCGAATGAATGCCATTTCGGGCATCAACAGGTTCAACCATAACAGTATCAATAGACAATAACGACACCAGGGGTTTAGTCACATTAGCCACTATGAATTCCTCACGTGCAAGAAGGTCTTGATCAGCCATAGCGGAGACCAAATTAGCAACGGAAACACGAACTCTGAATACTCCATCCGATAGAGCCTGAACAATAACTGGAATGGCGTGGCTGCTGATTAGGAATCGAACGATCCTTCCTTGATCATCATCAGAGACAATGTCAACAAGAGCATTGGAAGCTGCAATTTGACAATCAGGGAAAGAAGAATCCTTAAGAACCTTGAGGAGAGGCAAAACACCACCTTCCTCCATGATAATGAACTTATTCCAGTCGTTTATTCTAGCAATAGAACCCAACCCTGTCGCAGCTTCAGCACGGTCGATAGGATTACTGAGCTGAAGGGCATAAACGTAAGTCCACACCCAGGCCAAAATTGGATCATTACAGGCAATAGGAGGGATTGAAAGATCAGTCCCTTTAGACTCAAAAATGTTCAACAACCACATCATATCACCGTTACAAGATTCTAGAAGGTTCCAAACTTTCAGAAAATCGCCATTACTCCTCATTGTTAACATGTGCTTCAGCACACCAACACCTCCTTGCTTTTTGCACCTCCGCAAAAGTGCGAATGTTTTTTCAAGATTCTTTGTAACTTCTCTGACCATGCGACGAATTGGTTTATCGTTCAACGATTTGTGATTCGCTTCCACCGCTCGCACGACGCATCGGAGACTTTTGCAGAGTATCTCCACCTTCGTTGCTAGTTCGTGACATTCCACTTTCGATGATTTTGCTTCATGTGCCATTTTCATCACTTGCTCACCCATTAGAATTAGTATCAAAAGCTCCTCCTTCAGGCTCTTTTCATCTTCTAGCATAGAGTTAGAACCGGGGCTTTTCATCATTCAACACTAACCAACCACTTCACTTAGTTTCACACACCTTGAGAGACTGAAACAGAGAATTGAAAATTGAAGAAGATTGTGTTTGTAGTGTTATCTTTTGCTACTGTGAATGAACTTGAATCTGATATCTGTGATAATAAATGAGTAATATGTCTCCAGGGTGTTGAATTTTCTTTTATAAATAGTTTTAGTGTGACTTTTTCTAAAGGATGTGTGGTTTCGGTTGAAATTGAATAGAAGTTAGGGCGAAACTAATAAGAAATATAACAAAGTGAGATGTGATGCATCTCTTTATAAATTTCTTAGTCGATGCACACGGCTTGTTGACTGATACTTTGCCAATGCAAACGACTGGCGTTGATCCTTATCAAACTTTATTGTTCATAGCTTTAGAAAAGGTGAATGTTAGTACTACAAGGAAATTTCGGGTCCTATGTCTACAAAAATGTATGTACCAATTATAAATAGTCGCTTTGTCCTCATAAATATTTCATCATATAATTTTAATCTCAATAAAAATTTCTTTAAAATAATTGTTGTAAGTTTTTCTTTTTTATACTTTTGATGTATATCATTTACTTTCTTTAATAGAAGTTGACGTGACACATTATGTTGTAAGGCACGTCAGAGGTTACAAACCTCCCTAAATTAAAATTAATATTTAAAAAAAAAAATTTAACAAAATAAAGAGAAAAAATATCAAAGACTTTAGTGTATCCGATCCGTTTCTTCACATTCTTTTGGTTGGTTTGGCAATAACAGTCCTATGTTGATAAATAGAGTTTCCATGATAAGTTTAATATAAACTTTTTTAACTTTTACTCTATCATTTTTCTACTTTTTAAGTAACTCTTTTACTCTCTCATTCTCTTCTTTCTCGAAGATTTTTTTATGTTTGTGTATATCATCACCACCAATCTCTTCTCTTCTTTTTGAAGCAACTCACTTTGATAGCTTGTTAGCTTTGAAGATAATCCATGACCTCAGAAAACTAGTTTCCCTCTCCTCACTCACACTATATAATGAAATTTTCATCTTTAAAAACAATAACTTTAACTCATAATTGTTAAAATCATTTAGTAATTCAAGTATTATAATCGATTAACACAAGATGTAACTGTTTACAGCAGAGACATTTTCACTTCTAGACTGAAGAACAAGGAAAATATTCGATGGTGTAATTGGTTAACATTTGAGGTTAACCAGTTACCACTGAAGGTGCTATTATTGTAGTGTCAGCTATAATCGCTTAACCATTTGGTGTAATCCGTTACATGCATGGGTTTTTGTATTTTTTAGTTATGTACTTGTATGTTTTAGGTCCCAATCATTTTATAACACTCATATAAATGTCTTGGAGGCATTCTCATCTTTAGTTAATACAATTATCACTCTCACCCTCAATCATCTTTCTCTCTCTCAATTTTCCTCTTTCACTCTCCACATTCCAATTTTCTCTATATCTTTGTTCACCAACCTTGTGGTTCAAAGTTCCAACATTTGACATCAAAAGTCAGGTTCTAATCCACAAACACCTAGTGTGCAACATAAATTTTGTCTTCAATGAAAGAATCCCTACAAAATGACTCATCCTTAATACAAAGAATTATGAAAAATAGTGTAAGCAACTGAAAGTGTTGTTTGGCTACCAAGATATTTTTAAAGTGATCAAAAACGTGGTGACTCCCCTTGTCCAAAGTGAAATGGATGCATAACAAACAATGCATAAGAGAATAAGAAAGATTTCAAGGTATTGTTTTTTATCCACCAATGTGTGGATGGTGACAACTTTAAGAAAGTTAGTGATTGCAAATCGTCAAAGAAAGCGTGGAAGATGTAACACTCTTCTAAACCTCGCGGAATATATATAAATAATCAGAGTAAATTATCATGCATCTCAATAAAGGGTGTCACATATAATTCAAAACATCACACATATACTTGTCATGCTCAATAACACTTAAAATAAATTCATGTTTTTCATATACTTTCACATAGCATGTAGCAGCAGAATTACTTCAATCATAAATTAACATAATGAAATTCTCATGATCAACTCATTCATAATCATCACTTATGTATAAAAGTCGATACTCCACATAATTCAAATAACAATAACAAAATAAAGTAGAGTACATAAAGTATCTCTCAAAACATGAATTGAAATGTTCTCAGTGTTACATGATCAGAGCACGACTCAACCCAAAATAAATAGAGAAACTAAAACAAGTTACTCCAACAGCTACCTCGCACTAGAAGCAACTCTACTCCTCGGTACCTGAGCGATGTCGTATAATACATCATTCCAGCAGAAGGGTGAGAATTCACATAATTATCAAAATCATAAGATAATGTATAATTTATGGCGTACAAACATAATATAAATATTCTCACACTCCAAAACGTTCATCAATATATTATCACTCAAGTGATCATACTATTCACAAGTACATACTCACAATTTCATAATTCTCCAATTCATCAATTTCACATATTTCGCATAATCTCATATTGCAAACATATACATGATGTGACTCAATGCAAGACTCTAATACAACTCATGTATGTGGTATCAATCACTTGTTATTATTTTTCGGTTTTCACATTAAACTGGGTTCATTCCCTAGACCAATAACACACAAAAATCGCATTCCCTAAAGCTTTCAAACTCCGCTCTAGGTTTGGAACAAGTCACTAGTTCCCACGAAACTAACAAGCATTGCCTCTTAACAACAAATGATGCATGTGCCAGTTCAACAACCATATGCAATTAATACCATTCCCTAATATTAACATTCATGTATATCTTCAATAACTCATCACACTTGAATTACCACACAATTACACATACTTACACATTTTTATGAATCATCCACACACAATTCACTTTCAAATGATATACAACATATTTTACAATACAATCACTACTGTATTATTATTACAACAAGAAATAACTATCATGAATTTCATATTTTCACACCCAAATATACTTATACAAGCACATCCACAAGTATTCGATAAATTATCCACAAATAATTTCACAACCAGCAGCAAACAGCACAATAATCCATTAATAGAACATATACACAATTGGCTCCCCAAACATATTAGATATAAAAATATTTGGAAACTAATTCTATTATTTATACTATGATGCGTTTCTATTCATTAGCTTTCCAACGCTTTGAACGAGGACCAAAACGGACTTACAGATCAAAAGTTATGGCCAAAATCATCGAAACGAAAATTTTACCAATACACAGTATGCGTCGACCGCTATCGACAGGATAAGTCAACACATTGAAGGGAGAAACAAATCCAGAAAAACACACTCAGTATGCTTCGACCGCTGCGACGGATGCGTCGATGCAAACAGTACAGTATGTAGAATTTTCTGCGCTTTTCACCGTTGGAGGCCTTTCGGACCTCCGATTTCAATTCCGTAAAAAGTCTCAGCTCCAAAATTCGAAATACTACCATTATATGAGAATTGTAACAGCCTACAACACATATTTAATGATCCTACCATCATACTGTTTACCGTGTTTTTTGGTAAACAACCTCTGGTCTATCAATTTGGTGTCAAATTGACTAACTTGCAGGATTGACCATACGAAATCCTAGGATATGTGCTGAAGGGTGTGTCTATTTGAACCTATCTAGAAATGTGTTCCAACAATACTAAGAAGAAATAACTTAAAAGGGGGCAGAAATTATCCATTATGTTTAAAGGAAAGGAGGAAGAAGAATTATTAAAGGGAAAAGAGATAAAGGTTTTTTGGGAGGGAAAGACCTAATCGAAATGGTAATGATGATCAAAAGGGAAAGACGAAACAAATAAATAAAAGTACTTGACGAAAGTAAAGAAAACAAAGTAACTTCATTGAAAAGATAAAGGATGGTGTGTTTACATCACGTACATTCTCTACAATACTCTCTTTCTCTACGCTCGAATACTTGGAGTAATTTTAAGAGTGACTTGTACAACAGTAAATTACAACACACTAAGTTTTATGTCTAAGACTCCTATTTATAATAATAATAGTAACTGCTAATAACCTCCTTAGGCCATCTATTCTTGACAAGTGTCAGACCGCATGCAGTCCTTTATCCGATGAGAGCCACTTGTCCTTCTTAGTCATAAGAAAATATAACTACTCCCTCCAAGATTCGAATTTCAAAAAATCACTTCGTCCCTTCTTCTAAATCTTGGTCGAAGACCATTTCGCTTGCTTAGGTCGAAGTGTTTAATTTCAAGACTTCAATTTTCCTAAGTTCTTGGAAGACTTGTAGGTCTTTTTAATATGCTGAAAATAGCCTCCAACATGAGTCGTCGAATTGGTGAGCTAACACATACATCATGTAATCATCAATTTCAAAACCATGAAAATTAGGGATTTTTATCCTAAATATGATACTACCCATCATACATTATCATACAATCCCAATAATCATATAAAAACCCACTTTTACCTTGATTCCTTGGATTATAGAGCTCTTGTTCTTGGGGTTTTCTCCTCCTCTTCTCCACTTCTCTATTTGCCTCTTTTCCTCTTTTCTATCTTTCTAACTTTATTCTCTCTTTCTCTTATTTTACCAATCTCACAATTTTCTCATTAGTCTATTGGGCTAACTAACCCACTTTCTCACTTTCTATTCATACCTCTTATCTAGGCTCATTTACTAATTCTACAAATTCTATATATTATTTCACCAAATAAAATAAATAAAACAAATCAATTAATTCAAATAAATAAATTAAATCAAATAATTCAATTAGTTCAATTAAATCAAATATACATAAAATCACTTAATTAATTAATATAATATAATTAAATAAATAATTACTAAAATTGGGGTGTTACATGAGATCTTAGAGAAGACTTACGCAGGGACTGACAAGGCGAAGGTGGTGAGGTTACAAACTCACAAACGTCAACTTGAGTTGAGTCAAATGGAAGAAAAGTAGACGACTAACGATTTCACAACAATAATCA